AATTTTTGAGCGGCACACATTTACGTGTTTTATTAAGGTTTTTTTATAGATTTTATTTCTACAAATTGAAGTATTTATTTCCAGAAATCGAACTAAATTTCTTTGAAATATACTAAGCAGTGGCTTAAGTACCTACTGTATGATGTTTACCGACTTTTGAAATACCGGTTTTCTTTCAATGAAGTTATGAAAATATATATATATATTTTTTTTTTATGTAATAGGAGGCAAACGGGCAAGAGGCTCACCTGATGTTAAGTGATACCGCCGCCCACGGACACTCACATTGCCAGAAGGCTCGCAAGTGCGTTCCCAGCCTTTCAAGAATTGGTACGCTCTTTTCTTGAAGGACCCTAAGTCGAATTGGTTCGGAAATACTTCAGAGGGCAGGTGGTTCCACATAGTAGTCGTGCGCGGCAAAAACTTCCTAAAGAAAACGCTCAGTTGTGGAACGACGGACGTCGAGGTGATACCGATGGTATTTTGCCTTGACGTCCGATAGTGAAACTCAGCTGCAGGTTCAAAATTCATACACCCAAATGGGTTAGACCCATTTATTCTAATTGTACTCTTTCAACTAAAGTCTTTCACGTCTTTCGAATTGTGAACGCTTCGATTAAAAGATTTATTTGTTTACAAAAAACACAAACCTGTCCTAACAGGTGACCCTAAATCAACAATAAAAGATACACACATGAAATAAAATAAAACATTTGTGCAACTCACACGTGGTAGAAACCTTAAAAAATTTTGGTACGACTGCCATCCTAGGAAGGCCATATCATATTATAATTCTATATAAGTATGTTCTATATTTATATATGCTCAACAAGACCATGAAGGCCAGTCATTGTTAGACATATCATAATTATAACTAACCGGATAAATTATATCGGTTATAACCAGTAAAAACCGAAATAGACAGGTCATCTTTTATCTTTTTCTAGGACTGTATACGCCAGTGTTTTCGAACGTGGGGCCCGCGCCCCGTAGGAGGCCAATTTGATTGGCAATCGAAATTGGCTGGATATAATCAAAATTCGTTTATTCAGTTAAGATGTGTCTTAGCGCATGCTTATGAATGTCAAAAACGTTAACAAAATTCGCGAAAGAGCAAAACTACGCCATCCGTTCGCAAAACTACCAGGAGGCCTTGTTCTGAGAACGGGCAAGAAACTCAGCAAGTTTTACCCACGTTACAACGTGGAGAAGACTGAAGCTAACCAAATTGGATCCCAATATAAATATATCCCTTAATCTCTGTGCAGCCAGCATCTCACTGAATTACTACAGATAAATCTTTCTTAAATTATTTGGAATTTGAATTCCAGTTTTTGATTATACGTTTTGAAAATTTACTTACTGTGTTTCGTTAACAATTTCCTTGTAATTTCAATAAGAAGAAGACATTTCATTAAGAAGAGATAAAGAAATTGTAATTGTTAATATACATACAAACATATATAAATCATGAACAATTAAATTTTAAAAATTATGTATGTTAGGGGGGATAAGAATTGTAAACTTTAAGGTGGGGCATGGCACAAAAAGGTTGGGAAACGCTGGTCTAGGGACGTGAAACTGATGATAAATTAAAATGGAACTTTTTTTTCTCCTACCACTGTTCTAAAACCAATTATGTAGTTGTTTTTGTTAAAACATTGTTTATTAAAGAAGTGCGAAGCTTTCCTGTCATAACACCTAAATAAAATAAATGATTATTTGCGTGAGATAGTGTTGGTAATGTAAATTTAATAAAGTATGATATATGTACGATACAAATAATATAAGAATTGACCAATTCATATGACTAATAAAGTTAAATGTAAAATTCCTTTCAAAACAAATTTGCGCACCATTATGTGTGGAAGAATATGCGAACTTACTTACCTTACACATTTTTGTACCATATTCTTACAATAACTAAATTATTAAAATTATTATTATTAAAGTCTTATATGATATAAAGAATTTTGAATTTTTTCCTTGAATTTTGAACCAGCCTATTGAAGAAATAGACCGTACCATTTTTTAAAAGGCTCTTTACGCATTGAGAGTCTAAGGGCGACGTTTACATAACATCAGGAGAGAAACCTGCCATTTTGCTCCCTGATTCATAATATGCAATTACTCAAACACTCTTAAGAGGAGTCTGGTGAGAGAACCTAGCGACGGTAAGAGACAATGTTAAGAACAGTGTTGGCCTAGCAGCTTCAGCGCATTAAACAGCCTTAGACCCAAGTTAACACCATGTGTCAGGCACAGGAGGCTGACACCTACTTGCCTATTAGATTGACAATTGATCATGAAACAGATATCTGGGGCCCAGACCTGAAAAGTTTGTATCGCCACTGATTTATTTTTATTTTGTTACGAACATCAAAGCACAATTATTTGATCCATGTATTACAGGAGAAAGAGCCTATTCATCTACGAAGATTGTCCAACATTACCTTGATATTAAAAGATTAACATAAATCATCTTCTAAATATGGCAAGGTCTCGGAAAGTTTTTAAGTTTTAGTAATCAAAATAGTTACACTAAAGCCGAATATATAAATATACAAATCAAATACAGAATAGTAACATAGTCCCTTCTTCATTCCCAAGGTTCAAAATCAGCAGTATTTTCAAAATTCCGTTTGTATAAACCAACTTAGGAGTTCAGGCACCTATCATTGGAATTCTTCGCGAATATCAGACAAAACACTATCACAAATTTAAAAAGAGCATTTTTAAGTTAATTCTAGGCAAACTGAACGAAGGCGATTAAAAAATGTCACAGATAAACAGATGCAAATAATTGAATCAATCTGTCGCGATAATTATCTATTTACATTTTCATATCATCCTGCTCTTATATTTTCTTTAGTTTTCGTAGTGAATTAAAACGTGGATACGTCGCAGATATAGCAGATAAAAGATAAAATATATCTTTATTTCGGTTATAAAAAGATAAATTCGAATAGGCAAAATTAAACTTCTTCTGTGTATTTTGTTAGCGATTTTTACCCCAAGGTCATGGGTTTAAGAGTTTTTAAATTACACGTACATAGGAAAATATCATGAGGAAACCTCCCTGTTCGAAACAGTGGAATCATTCACACACTATATATCGAGACATTTTTCGTGAAAGGTGTCATAAAGAAAAATAACGTACTCCAGGCCACAGCAGGCGCTGGACTTTTACGTACTCATATGGGAGTGTTTGAACATCACCTTTCAATTTTTGATACGGTTTGTCCATTTCAATTTATTGTAACCCTTTCAATAGGGATGCATCCGATACCGATCCCGATACCGATATATCGGCCATACTTTGGGTTTGCCGATATATCGACATCGTAGATATTTTAATATCGATGCCCGGGGAATCCCCGCGTTTTATTCAGTTTGTTGTCTCTCTCACTCGCTTTGTCCCCGGGTATTCCCTTCGCTAGACACATTAGTTGGCTTTTAACTGCTATCGTAAAATTAAAATTTGGTATGGAAAAAATTGCGAAGTATTTTAAAAAAATACAGAATTACAAAAATCTTATCAATTAAAATTAATTATTAACAAGTATTTATTTTAATTTAATTATTACTCTTACTTCTTAATATTAATAACTAAACCTAATTATTCAAAGTTTGTGACTGTTTATAATTTTTAATAGCGTTGGTATCGGTATCGACGATATTTCTATAAGAGTAGGCATCGGTATCGCATCGGCAAAAAAGCGTATCGATGCATCTACCCTTCAAGTAGCGACTCTTGGGCCGTGGCGTTGTACATGCGCTAATTAAAGATTTATGTTGACGTCTGGTAGATATTACTGGTGATGCCAGAGCTGGTGCTTTTCGCGACAATTATGTATCGCAATACAGCGAGAAAATGGTGACAGCATTAATGGTAGACTCCCATAGCGACCAATTTTTTTTTATTTTTTTGTTATCTATTTTGTGCTAAAATGCTATAAACTGACTTTTTTATTACTATAACTTGATGCTATTTAAATGCTATGGTACAATTTGACTCGATGCATTTGGAACGTAATACTAACACGATTATTTACTATCAATATTATGCAACAAGTCTCACACATTGTATATATCTATATCATTTTAGTTTCTGTATGGTTTAAAAAAATGTGCTGTGTCTCAAAAGAAAACAAACAAAAATCTCTCTATCTATCATACATAGATACATATAATATGGTATTTTAATGGGGTAGGATCCTACTTTAATTATACCTGTAAGCCGGTTAAGGCCCTATCCTAGCACGAATTGCTGTGTCAGTGTCTCGGGGTGGACTGCAGGGCGTAGTGGAGAGCTGGAGCACTGAGGCGCGCCGGCCCGTAATAACAATTAGTTATGTAAAACATTAAATTAATGAGGTTTTATCATTTTTCTGAAATGGATTACTTGGCTTGCTATAATATATATATATATATATATATATTTTGATATATGATATTGATATATATATATCAAAATCAAAATCATGTTCTATATACATTTTCGTCATAAAATCAATTCAAAGTGTCAAAAATTAGCTATGTTTGGATTATTTCTGTCGAGCGAAGTTGTTTAAATCGTGTATCGATCTTTCAAAATGGATACATAAACTACTCAACACCACCATATATTTTTTCCATTCGTTTCAAGAAACGATGTCGAAAAATGGAAAGAAACAATGTACTTTTTTGGAGTTTGGCGACCAGATCGGTCCTTAAAACGTCAACGTAATACTTAAATTCGAATTTATTATTAACAATGATTTTGTTCCCTTTGAAGTAGAGACTCTTGGGCCGTGGGGTTCAAGGGCATAGGTACTAATCAACAATTTAAGTTGTCAACAATTTAAGTTGGCGCCTGGTAGATTAAAACTTTATAAATTTGTTTAAATTTTCTATTTAGCTACTTTCCAGTATTATTATTACTATGTAGGTTAAGAATATGGTAAATACTGTTAATTTGTGTTGGAAATAAATATTATTTGTTTCCAGCCAGATGCCATATGATGAATAAGCTATTGTGCCACAAAACCACCGACAGGGAGGTCCACAAGAGTACATATTCCCTAGTTTCATGCGGAGAACTCACCGCTGACACATTACAGCTATGGAATGGCTTACCAGACGAGATTAAAAAGGACCCATCGTTTGACCAGATACGGCAGAAGTATGAAGAATTGGGTGAGCTGTTGTACAATCTCTCTTTAACTACTTGAAAACAAAAATTGTTGTCTTGACTATGCGGTCATAGGTTCGAATCCCGGCCTTGCACCAATGGACTTTTCTTTCTAAATAACGGTAAAGGAAATCATAGTGTGTAAACCGCCATGCCTTAGGCCCAAAAAGTCTATGGTGTGTGTCAGACACAGAAGGTTGATGCTACTTGCTTAAAAATTAATCAAGAAATAGATACAGATAGCTAAGACGAATAACCAAGGGTTGTAGAACCACTGTCCTTGGGTCCACACGAACTCAATAAAAATATTGTATGTTACTTAATGTTGACTTTGACACACACATATTAGGTTTTCATATTTTGTACGAAAATATTCGTGTTTGTGTAATAATTTACCAAAATCCGGGATTCCTTATATGGCAAACAGTAATTTCAGATAAAGATTCCGATGACGTCATTTATTTACCCAAAATTATATGTAAAGTATTCATTTAGATTCTCCCCTGTTTGAATCTTCGTGTTTGAATCACGACTTTGCAAAATAATTTTTATTCTATGTGCTTAAACGTTGGTCATCCTCATTACACAATGAAGAAGCAGGCCTAAAAATCGGACTCAGACGGCTGATCACCTAGTTGTCCATCAAAAATAAAATTCTCAAATAAACGCATGCATTCTAAGACCGAGGTAGATAGAGATCTTCTTCCCGCTCTACGCCCTTGACTTGCGAACTGGTGGTAAATGTAGATAAATTTAGAATCAATTTAACATATTTTCTGTTGACGTTCATAAATGTACTTGGTTACCTATATGTTATATTATTATATTATTATGTTGTATCTTTTACTCAATTTATTTCTGTGTACTGCCCTGCGATTCTGTAACTCACTTTTCGAACTCACTCAGCGGTTTTCGCAACGGCGGTCGCTCTGAAATCAGTCGTGAAGCAGTCATTTTATGATTTGGCATTCTGAAAAGGTGGAAGCTTGTAGTTTATTGTTTATTAGAATGCCAAATCATAAAATGACTGCTTCACGACTGATTTCAGAGCGACCGCCGTTGCGAAAACCGCTGAGTGAGTTCGAAAAGTGAGTTACAGAATCGCAGGGCTGTATGAGAATTGTCAATAAAGTAAAATTAAAGTGAACATACCAAAAACAAATGAAATAAATAAATAACAGCTGTATTTTGTTTATAAATATAATTTCAGGTGATTCAGGTGATATCAATAATGTTCAGAACGGAGAGAAAAGAGCTAAATTCACAATTAACAATGACCCCATACTGGTCCCCAACAATGAACATGAAGGATTTCTTATTCAAGATCACGAAAATACTGAGTACGTACGGTTCTTGGGTCATCGGGGTGCTTTAAATAATAGAGGATTTTAGTTTTACTCTATATTAACCACTCGCGTACAACAATAATATATATATATATATAGCGAAATAATAAAATGTTAATTGCTATGAAACAAATGAATGCAATGTAACAGTTGAAGAGAGTGCCTACGTCTATACTCTCGGGGCGTAACTCCCATGATTTAGTTAATTGCTATGAAACAAATGAATGCAAAGTGACAGTTGAAGAGAGTGCCTACGTCTATACTCTCGGGGCGTAACTCCCATGATTTAGTTAATTGCTATGAAAGAAATGAATGCAAAGTAACAGTTGAAGAGAGTGCCTACGTCTATACTCTCGGGGCGTAACTCCCATGATTTAGTTAATTGCTATGAAACAAATGAATGCAAAGTGACAGTTGAAGAGACTGCCTACGTCTATACTCTCGGGGCGTAACTCCCATGATTTAGTTAATTGCTATGAAAGAAAGAATGCAATGTAACAGTTGAAGAGAGTGCCTACGTCTATACTCTCGGGGCGTAACTCCCATGATTTAGTTAATTGCTATGAAACAAATGAATGCAAAGTGACAGTTGAAGAGAGTGCCTACGTCTGGCTATACTCTCAGGGCGTAACTCCGACGATTTAGGAATTCGCTACGCTTATAAAACTAAGAAAGCCTGAGTAAGCGAAATGTACAGCCTTGGCTCGTACAATTAAGGCATTTAACTATTCATAAACAACATTACCTATTAAAGGGGCTTCTTCTTATTAGTTTGACACGATTAATTTGTTTAGTAATAATATTTTTATTGTTAAGTGGGTAACAATTTTACAATAAAACTGTGATGAAAAATGTCTCGGTGGATATTTTCAGTAACTCCATGGAGACCGTTCGCCGAGTCGTTTTTGAAACTTTGCTGTGTGAATTATTTGCTATTATTATTTTCTTTATTCCTACATACCTAATTATGTATTTACTGTGTATATTTGCGGATGCGTGGCGGACCCATGCGACTTCTTCAATACAAAGAGTCCCCTCGTGAGTTGTGTACTGCGATATTGCGGGCTACTCGAAGTTGCATGGATCTGGTCTGGTGTTATTAAGTTCTCATGTTATTTTCACACATGTATATTCTTTCTTTCTGAGCAGTGGTGGCTTCAGCGTGCGACTCTCATCCCTGAGGTCGTAGGTACGATCCCCGGCTGTGCAGCAATGGAATTTCTTTCTATGTGCGCATCTAACATTCGCTCGTACGGTGAAGGAAAACATTGTGAGGAAACCGACATGTCTTAGACCCAAAAAGTCAACGGCGTGTGTCAGGCACAGAGTCTGATCACCTACTTGCCTATTAGATTGAAAAATGATCATCAAACAAATTCAGAAATCTGAGGTCCAGACCTAAAAGAGGTTGAAGTGCCACTGATTTATTTATTTTATTTATATTCTTTCTATAATAATTTATAGATATAATTCCTAGATATTTAAAATCGAAACTGACAGCCGCTAAGATATGTTTTTTTTCTAACTGCGTAAAGTGACTGTATGTTCCACATTTCAGAGTGCTATGTGCTTCACCACAGGACAGGAAAAAACACGACCAGGTAATTATATATTACAAAAAAAACTAGGGATAGCGACTTTTAACTGATTTATGTGTCTAAAGTATATTTGTGAATACTTTATTTTAAAATGATACTTATAATTTTAAAACTACGGTGAAGAAAAACATCGCGAGGAAACCGGCATGCTTTAGACCCGAAAAGTAGATGTGTGTGTGAACCAGCGTTGCCAGATTTCTTTTTAGTCAAGTCGGGATTTTGGCACTTTTAAAGTGAAAAAAGCGGGATTCATTTGTCGAAAGCGGGACATATTAAAAAAAAAAAATCAGAAGTTTTTAAAATTTATGTTTTTAATTGATTCAAATCACGTTTGGTGACAATAGACAACGAAAATAGTCACAGAAAATGTATTTAAATCAGATTAAACCTATCGTTAAATAGTTCTTATTCATATTCTGATTAAAAAACAAAAAAATCAAAATAAAAAAAGTTTTTTTATTAGAAAAATATGGCGTCTCAAACAATACTCTGAAGAGTGAGTGTTTTAAATTACAACTTACAATAAGACAGTAATAATTATTTATAAGAATTACTTATTCATAATATATGAAGATATAACTTCTTTAAAAGTTTCATTTTTCTCTTTAAAAAAGACGAAGAACTCTTCTAGCTGCAGATTAAACTTGATGAGTAACTCTGATTTCATTAAATTTACGAAGCATTTCAAAATGAAAGGCGTTTTGGAAAGCAGTTTGATGGTAGGATACTTAATATAAAGTTTGAAGATAATCCTGGTATTTTTTTTTGGATACTGTTGAAAGAGTTGGTTCCATAATCCATTATTGTGCGGTGGTGGTAGTTCACACTTCTTATTGCTATCGAGTTATTCCCGAAAAGCGGGACTAAGCCTGTCCCGCGCGGGACATTTCATTTTGATTTAATAATCGGGACGTCCCGCCAAAATCGGGACGTCCGGCAACGCTGGTGTGAACAGAAGTCTGATCACCAACTTGCCTTAACTATCATGGAACATGTGTGGATACAGTAATCTGAGGCCCATACCTCAAAGGTTGTACCATTAGTACATAATTTTAAAAACTACGCAATATTTTTTGGTTTCACCGACACATTTTGTTATGCATACAAATTAATAGTAATTTATGATTAAAATTTTAATCTTGATAAACAAATTATTATTTTAATCACATATATACAATTAAGCAAAGATACAAGCTACAAAAGTGGACAGTTTTGATAAAAATTACATAATTTTTTAAACAGGCAAAAATAACCCGCTACTATATAAAAATGTCACTCCTTCTTGGCTGTTGGGTATTTTTTACTGGAGTATTCTTAACGCATAATGAAAAGGAAGAGATATATAAAACCACCGCTGTTCTACCCGGAGATATCAATAGTAAGTAATTCGTGATAAAATTAAATAGTTCACGTAACATATGATATAGTTGTTACAGATGCTGGCAAACATCTTGAACAAATGTCCTCGCCTACGCTATCACTTGGAGTGGGGCGGCGGGCGGTGGTGCCCGGTGGCGGGAAAGCGACGTGTCAATCGCGTGATTGGTAAATCAGTTGGACGTTCGTGTCCCGCGCTGCGCAAACTTTCCCCTACTCCCTTGTTTAATGTTTAAGATGTTTGCCGGTATCTGTACGCGGAAACGAAAACAATCAAGCATTGCTCCAGTGCCTAGGTCTCAGGGTGCCTGATGGTTACGCTAGGAGACGTCTTCGACAGCTCTTACTATTCGTACCTTCAGCGAAAGCAAACCCCTCAAAGCAAAAAAAAGGGCACACAATTTTTTTTTAATTGACAGGGTTCAAACGGGCAGGAGGCTCATCTGATGTTAAGTGATACCTCCGCCCATGGATACTCTCAATGCCAGAGGGCACGCGAGTGCGTTGCCGGCCTTTTGAGAATTGGTACGCTCTTTTCTTAAAATAAAATCCTCCTCTGAACACTCTCCATGCGGTACAATATGCACCCCTCATCTCTACGCATCGCCAAGGGATCAAGCCGCTCGGAGAGGATTGGTCGTCGACGATTCGAACCGCTCTTCGTTAATACTTGGTTTCGCTATGATGATAAGAGATAGTTAATAGAGTGTAATCTGTACTGATTTAGGTTTTAGGTTTAGCTATCTTATTCTCAACGGTTTAAGCTACAAATCATTTTGAAATGAGCTTTTAAGACGATCATGTTTTTCAGATTATACACTCAACACATTAAATGCGGAAGCGATATCAATTAAGATAAATGGACCATTTCTATCGGCTCGCGATGAACGAAATCTAAACTCCAGTGAATATGATTCTGCTGATAAAATGCTGGTCTGGCTTGAAGGAGATGAGGTATTGAGAATGGTATTTATAATAATAAAAATTTATTTGCAAGAATATGGTAAAATAATCACACAATGGCGTGCAAATTTTCCTTAAAAGTTAGAATTTTACATAATTACATATTACATTACGAAACACATCATCATAGTCAATTCTTATATTATTTATCACTTTATCAAAAACACATCATAACACTATTCAAATAAATTATGACGTTTCAGAGGAAAAATAAAAAACCTTTTTTTTCAGATTTCACAGCCCTGGTACATAACACTCTCAGATAATTTAAACTATAATACAGGAGAAATGCGATATCATATATTCCAGCTTAATAAAACAAGCTATATATTAAAACTCAGAACAACGGCATCTAGCGTGACTGCCTTTAAACTAAGTTTTGATTTGAATCCACTAGATGGCAGCACCGGCGTTATTTACGCTATTATTCTACTTTTTGTACTGTATGTACTAATTATTTTTGAGGTAAGTAACATTTAGTTATCTATTAAACCTTTTTGTATAGCTTCATGGGATACTGCTCTTACAATTTTTTTTAAATGTTAAGTGATACCGCCGACATTCTCAATGGGAGGGGGTTCGCGAGTGGGTTGCCGCCCTTATAAGAATTGGTACGCTCTTTTCTGGAAGGACCTTAAGTCTAATTGATTCGGAAATACTTGAAAGGAAACTGAAAACGCTCAGTTGTGGAACGGCGGACGTCGAGGTAATACGGCTGGAATTTCGTATGATGCCTCGACGTCCGATGATGGAACTCAGCTGTAGGTAATAATCCGAACAACTCAAAAGTCTAGCATTCTTCGAGACAATTTTTAATAGGTTTTCTTTAATTATTTTGGCAGGTAGGATAGACCTTCAGTTGGTCACGCGTTGAATTTTGTATTTTGGCGTAAGAGGCTAGACTATATGAATCTTACCATGACTTGTTGATTCCTCAAGATATTTTGGCTTTTTGGCATTGTTCCGCTCACATAAAATCTCTGTGCACAGACACGTCATTTTATTCCTCAAATAACACCATAAAGTAATAAATAAAATCTATCGCGTTAAGTATTCTAAGTATATTATTTAGGTTTAAAATGTTTTTTAGATTATTAACAGAACAATGGCAGCGTTATTAGTATCGACAACATCACTGGCTGCTTTAGCCCTAGTTGGACAAAGACCGAGTCTGCCAGAGCTGATCTCATGGCTGGACGTAGAAACATTGCTTCTGCTCTTCAGCATGATGATATTAGTAGCTATCATGGCGGAAACTGGCATTTTTGATTTCTTGGCTGTGTTTACTTTTGAAGTATGTATTAAATTTTATCTGTCCAAGTAGTGTTCTTAGTGTATATGTCGCAGCCAACTAGCTTACTAAGCCGTTGAATTAACAGCCTTTTAAATAAAAAGCGCTGTTTAACTAGCGGCCTGAAAGATATTCAGCCGTAGCGTTTGTTACAACATTGAATAAACTGGTTGGCTAATGCTTGGGCCATTCGTACGATAGAGTAATCATGTGCTAGAAATAAAAGATATGACATAAAAATATTTCTTTAAAAATTAATTGCTTGAGTCAGTCACAGCTAAAATCAGATTATTATTGTCACTAGACTCTTCCATTGTACTTGTTTCATTAAACTTTGGAAAACACCATCAAAGTGGAACTAAATTTAAATAACGAGTCAACAAGCTAAGCAAGTAATGAAACGTCACCGGTCCAAGTCATCTGCCTAGCTGTTTGATCTACTGGCTGAATATCATTTAGGCCGCTGTTTAGTTAAAAGGCTAGGCTGTTAATTGAACGGCTAATAAAGCTAGTTGGCTGTGACATATTCATGAAAATTTTATTTATCGCTATATAATAGTTTATTTTCTTTTAAAATACTTTCGCGCTAATCTCTTAACGAAAAGACACGTTAGACGTAGACTATTAGGACCAAATTTTCGCAAATAAAACTTTCGGCTAGCTTTTGAACGAAGAATATTTCTTATTTAAGGTGACGAAAGGAAAACTGTGGCCTTTGATTTTCCTTCTATGCATAATAACAGCTGTCTTGTCTACTTTTTTGGACAATGTTACTACGGTGCTTCTAATGTCGCCTGTTACTATAAGGTAAATAATTCTTGAATTATTATCTACTTAGGCATATTGTTCTACTTAAAACAGTGGCGCTAGAACCCTTAGTTTTGGTCTCAGAATGGTATATGCAGTGGCGTAACAATAGGATGGCAGGGCTGGCAAAATGCCACGGGCCCCGACCCAAGAGGGCCCCTGACCAAGAGATATTATGTTCTAAGTTTATTATGTGAAGTCTCCAATACGTATTGGGCCAGCGTGGGGACTACAGACGATTTCCTATCGCCTGAGAGAGGAGGCCTATGGCCATTAGTGGGACATATACAACGTGTAATTGAGTACGCTGAAAATCTCGAAGTTTATTAAAACTAAACTGAGTACAACGTGTCGATTTTTACTGATAGGGCCCCATCAAAAGAATTTGCCACGGGCCCCAGATGGTATAGTTACGCCATTGGGTATCGGCCTTTTTCTAATAGGCGGGTAAGTGATCAGCCTTCTGTGCCTGACACACGCCGTCGACTTTTAGATCTAAGGCATGTCCTCACGATGTTTTCCTTCACCGTCATCAATGAAGTTTGGTGAAATTTGCCGTTGTCATTATTTTTCCCATACATTAAATTACGCACTACTCTGAAACATGTTTCACGTTCCTAGTATGCGGTGCTTACCTTTCTACCTATAGGTTCTACTTGTGTATAGATCCTAACAATAATAGGAGGTTCTACAATAAGAAAATCCATCTCTTCCTCCACAGAACAAATTTGTGTAGCTTATAATACCATAGGTACCTTTCAAGTATTACTTGAGCACTATGGGGGAGAGGGGGGATCTTTGATTTTCTTATTTGGTGATTACGTCAACAGTAATTATTTACTTCTTTACACATATTACCCACACATTGTCGATTCTTGAAAACGAAATGCACTATCGAGGATTCCTACAAAAAATTAATACGTTTATGTACTATTATTTTTGAGAGCTTTGCTTACTTTTGCTGACAGCAGGAGTGGGAGGGGGGGAGGATAAATTGTAGTAAATCTGCTTACGTAATACTTGAATGGCCGCATAAGCTTACTAAAACACAATTACCAATTTCACGTAGAACTTACTTTAAAAGTATTATTTTTAGATTATGCGAAGTAATGGACCTGGATCCAGTACCAATATTAATGTTCATGGCGATATACAGTAATATAGGTGGTACTGCCACCCCGGTAGGAGATCCACCCAATGTCATTGTTGCTTCTAATAAAGCTGTCATCAATGCTGTAAGTATTTCTTGTTAGCTTCCGATATTATTTCAGATTTAAATCAGTGGCGCTACAACCATTTTAGATCTGGGCCTCAGATTTCTGTATCTGTTTCATGATCATTTTTCAATATAAAAGGCAAGTAGGTGATCAGCCTCCTGTGCCTGACACACGCCGTCGACTTCTCGAGTCTAAGGCAAGCCGGTTTCCTCACGATGTTTTCCTTCACCGTTCGAGCAAATGTTAAATGCCCACATAAGAAAGTCTGTTTGCGCACAGCCGGGGATCGAACCTACGAGCACAGGGATGAGAGTAGCTATAATGACATCAGCTGGTCACAGGCAGGTCTTACTAAAGCCTGGGATACGAGGATAATTTCAACATTGGCTTTAGGTGAATAATTAGGATAAAAAAAAACTTTTATTTATTAATTTCGTAATCCTACATCTAACAAAAAATATATTTAACAAAAACAATTATGCTAAACATATAGCCAAAGATGGAATACATAATATATACAAAAAGGTTCAAACATTTACCAACGGAAAAAATCAATAAAAATAAAATACACTTTACGTTACACCTAATTCGGCTGTGTTGTGTAATGGTCTGAATGTGAGGGTGTGTAGGTATGTGGGGTGTGCTCATGATTTAGCGCTACGGATATTCTTAATACTCATTTTAAGCGTGATAGCTTAAACAAGCTATTGCTTATCATCTTCTGCCATGAATAACAATTAATTTCCGGCTGCTAAGCTTTATAACAATAAAGTAAGAACAAAGAAAACAGAAGCAGAAGTTTGACAGTTGAGCACTTTAAGTACCTAACTACATTTCCACGTACCTAAGTGCAAACACTTTCTGTTATTTTTTCAGGGTATATACTTCACTAACTTCACAGCACACATGTCAGTTGGTGTAGTGTTTATAGTGCTTCAGACTACACTCCAGATAAAATATATGTATAGGGATGTGAACAAGCTTCGCCTTAGGGTGCCTAGGGAAATACAAGGTAACTAACAATTATCTTAATTTTTTTTTTAATAAGCCTTTATTGCTGACACCCAGTACAATATAATAACACTTATTTAAGTTACATAAATAAAACTTAATCTAATACGTCACTTGACCCGTTTTAGGTAGTCAGCGTGTCCTGTGACACGTAGGCCTCTTCCAGCTGTTTCCATTCCTCTCTGATATTAGCTCTTCTTGTCCAAGTTGTGCCTCCTATTCTCTTTATATCGTCTGCCCATCTCTTGTTCTGTCTTCCTCTTTTCCTTTTTCCATCGCGTGGTTGCCATTCTGTAATTATTTTTGTCCATTTCAACCTGCTATCTCTTGTCATGTGCCCGGTCCAGCGCCATTTCAATTGCCTTATTTTCTTTATAATGTCTTCTACTTTGGTCGCTGATCTTATATAATTAATTAAGTTTATTTATTTGTTAACTAAGGTAGTGTGTAAGGTGTGTCTGCAAAACCTACGTTCAATTTACCTTTCTCGATTTGTTTAAAATAAATACCTTGTACTATTTTCTTCTTTCGGTGCCTCTCCATCACTGGAGGTTAGCCGTCTCGTGAAGCTTGTCTTGTCCTGTGCCAGATGCAGCAACTCTATCGCCATCCCCGTCCACTCCCTAACGTTCTACTCTTTCAGAATTACACCATCAAATATCGATATGGCGTCGGGCGGCGGATTCCCTTCCGCATTTGAGTAATGGCGTCGCCGTGGTTAGAGAGGGATTAGAGAGAAAGATAGTCAAACTAAACAAACAGTTGAAGAACATGGTAAAAGAGAGGAATAAACGAGCCTGCCCCAAAGATACCTTTAGAAGCACTTTGGTCGAGTTAAAAGAAAAGGTATGTAGTATTTTTGTATCCGATTAGTTTCTGTGATAACCCCTTTTATCGATGAAAGATATTATAACAGATGTTCAAACAAATGCTTTATACAGACTCTCTAGCGTTAAATACTTGTAAGGAGGTATTAGAGTGCGCGGCTCCAGAAATCGCAAAGGCGTAGCATTATGGACACCTTTGTAACGCCAAGGTATACAGGGTGGCCAAAAAGTCGTGGATCAAACGCAAATAGGGGATAGATGTGGTCATCAGCTGCAAAAAATTGTTCTACGGGAGGTCTATAAGCTCAACCCCTGCAGAGTTATAATTTATTTTGCGTTTTATAAGAAAATTTACTTTTTTTACTAATTCTTATTAAAATTCGAAAAAATATACATCCTGTATCTTTTTCATAATATCCACTAGATTGGTACTGATGAGTTCTTGCGTTAGACATACTATTTATAGTTGTTTATTGAGTGTATTGAAGATAATATTAAGTTATACGATATAATTTTTTTTTCAAATTAAAACTTTTTGTTTACTTCGTAAGTGACACCGTATTACAAGTTTTGGCGCATTTAATAGGGATTCTGAAAAGGTATTACACATGGCCATGAGTCGCTCTAATACAGGATAGGAATAAGTCAAGTCGAAGGAGGTTCATCAAGCGTCATTTATAGTCAAAGCATGATTGCTACATAAATTTTTTGTGTTAGCCTTAAGGCAAAAGAAGTTTAGTTTATTTTAAATTAGGCCCATTCCGCTCAGTAGACTGAATTACATATAATATGTAATTACTGATTTATACCTTTTTTTTTTCAGTACAAAATCCGCGACAAAGGTCTTCTAATAAAATCATCAGTGGCTATTATTTTTGTGGTGACAGTATTCTTTTTACACTCAATACCAGAGCTTAGTAAGTATTTAAAAATTCGCACCAACTCGAAATTAAATGTTAAAAAGAATGAAAAGGGATGTAAGATACAGGTATCACTTACTCCACGTCATTACATTTGAATCGGTAGACATCCCTACTCATCGGCAAAGAAGACAGAGGGTGTAGGCCGAGAGAAAAAGCCGGGGAAATAACTATTGGTACTCTTTTAAAATAGCAAATCATCATACAAAATGACTATGGCAAACAACACTTATTTTAAAACAAATATCGCAAATTAATTAGAAGTAGCCCGTCTAGCACTAGTCCCAGGCCCTTTCATAACTTTATAGTAAGCTTTTCCTGAATACATTTCTTAAATTTGTCTCTATATTATCGAATAGTCGACATCTAGCTGTCAAAAGATAATACTATTATATTGACGTATACGAATAATTGGATAAAAAATATTTTTAGATAGGGTATCACTCGCAATGACAGCTCTTCTGGGCGCCATTTTGCTCTTATTATTAGCTGATCGGATGGACATTGAACCCATATTACACCGAGTTGAATGGTCTACTCTACTTTTCTTTGCTGCTCTATTCGTACTTATGGAGGTAAGTTAAGGAGATACAATAATTTTATTAGAATAATAATGCCAATGTGTTAGTAGTCTGTGGATTTTCACTCTGTGGTGGTGCGTGCCAAGGCTCTTTTCTCATTCATTTGTAGTTCAAATAATGAAATAAATTGTCTAAGGGATCTGTTGGATGCTATGTTTCTTTATAAACTGTGCAACAATATGCTGGACTCACCTCAATTTTTGTTTAAATTGAGCATTTCTGTTCCTAGATGTCTGAGAAAGCAGATATTATCTCCAGTAAGCGCTCGAATTTGGAGTTCTATGCTTCACTAAACACCACGGCTAGTGTGTTCGGCTACAGGGCCCGAACAATCTAGACATTTTTGCCCATTGATATTCATAAATAAATATTTTAGCCAGATGTGGTATAATTTAAACCAAATTATTAATTTAGAATCACACTCTGAATGAGCCAGTGTTTATAGCTCAAAACCACGCTCAGATCTGAGGAAAATGGCCAATTAAAATAATATTAACTTACTAAAGGCAGTACAGGCCCCCCTCTTCTTTCTGCCTTAAGGAAATGACTGGAAAAGATATAGAAATAAAACAAGGCTTTATTATCATTATTATTATTATAGATTTTGTTATTATCACTGTAATGTCACTAATGTGGCAGAATATTCTTTAAAAAATTTAGGTTTATAGTTTATTATAGATGTTTTTTCAGGCGTTATCAAAACTTGGCTTAATCCTATACATCGGAGGTCTAATGGAACAAGTTATATTAAAAGTGGACGAATCTTCAAGATTGGCCGTCGCTCTCATGTTGATTATATGGGTAAAAAGATTTTTAATATATAACTGCCCCCGCGAACTTGTTTCGCCTTAATCTGATTTTACTTAGCTTTTTAATAGCTACGATATATTATATACGTAACATATACAATACTACATACCAACATTATGAAACATTTTGCTATGTACTTTTTCGGAATAAAAACCTAACTTCTGAATAAAACTACATTTTTCAACGTTTTTTTTTAATTTTTTAAATGTTTCTCTCCATAAAAACTTTCCTCAGAGTTCAAGGAATAAATATAAAAAAATACTCGAACTGGTCAGAACTGAACAGATTATTCCAATGCGTCAATTATTTACATAATATCATCACAAACAAAACAATATATCACAGTAAAAAACTACACAAAATTAAACATTAATATATTAAAATATTTCCAAAAAGACTATTTATTACAGTATAGGATCTGACATGACGCAGACTTTCTGTCAGATCACTCAACGGACAATTAAAAACTTATGTTAATCTATGCAGTTCATTATTTCTATACATAGTGTAATGTGTGCCCTTTTCAAGAGAATAGTAACAAAAGTCAAAAATCATTTCTTCATGTAGGTAACACAATGTACCCTTATGAACGTCAAAAATGAAATATACATTAAATGCTTCTAATTTTACATTTACTGCCAGTTCTCAAATCAAGGACGTATAACGGAAGAGAAGAACTGGCAATAAACTCTCCACCACTCTGTTTACGGCGGTCGATGTCGTCTTCTAACGTAACCATCAGGCACAGAGACCTAGGCACTGGACTCTGAAGCAATGCTTGATTCTTTTCCATAAACGCGTCCTTGTGAATTCAAATCAACTAAGTTTTAATTCCGTGAATTCTTCAGTTAATTTTAACTTACAGGTATCCGGCACTATATCGGCCTTCGTTGACAATATACCACTTACAACAATGATGGTGCGAGTAGTGGTATCCATTGGTACCAATCCCAAGTTGAACCTGCCGATGGCACCACTCATTTGGGCTTTGTTGTATGGCGCATGTTTGGGAGGTAATAAATATATTACTTAGATATTTTATTTTGTGATTTTCCTTCCTTATAATGTAAGAATTTTTTTTTTGATAATTTGTCCACTCCACCTTAAAAAACATTAGGTTTTTTAAATTTATAGAAATAAATAAACTTGCAGTAGCTACGACCGGGTATCGAATCCGATACCCCACACCTAGTGGACACTTAATAAGACCGCAAGGCTCTGGCCCTTAACCTAACTTAATGTAATTCATTGAGACCCACTGGGAATTCAGACAATATAATTTAAATCATACATGTAATATTATTAGTTTTTATTTTTATGGGGTCTAAAGCCATGCGCCTCCTTAATATTACTTGGGGTACTACATACAAGTAAAGACCGATAGAAATAAGGTTAGGTTAGAACCAAAATTTTTACCTTCTTTCATTCATTTCACAAATCATGATGTTTTAATTAATTTCTATTGAGTTAAAGAGCATGCGCCACCACATTATTGCATGGTACACCATTGCCGAGTGATGAAAATATGCAGAAAGAAATTTGGAGCTGTTTTAAAGTGCAGCCGTTTACCATACATTTTTGTTTTGAGTACACTTTAAAACTTTTCTAGTTCGACTATTCAACATCTTTACAAAATATTATTACAATTTAACTGAAAAAATGTGTTGAATGATACTTAGTAAGGTAATTATTATTTCAGGCAACGGTACACTAATCGGTGCAAGCGCAAACGTGGTGTGCGCAGGAGTAGCAGAACAGCACGGATATAAATTTACATTCACAAAGTTCTTCAAAGTAGGCTTTCCTATTATGATCGGCCATCTTGTTGTTTGCTCTGTGTACCTTTTGATTTGTCATTGTGTCTTTGAATGGCATTAGGACGTATTAAGGACCATACTCAATGTTGAAGAAAGAAAGTAAGAAGAGTCTGGCAGAATGACCAGCGCTGTGGAACACGTCTGCTCCACAGCATAATGCTAAGCCAGGGCCAGTTACAACCACAACACACACATTACACACTCAAAATGTACCTTATTAAGTGTGTTTCTGTGTGTGTTTCGTTAGTAATGAATGTTGTCTATGTCTTATGTATAATAATAGCCTATACCAACGAATTCAGACGTAAGAGGATATAAGCAAAGTTCTTCTTGGCGCTCTGAAGACAAACTTTCTGGGACCCAAATTGCCGCTTGGCGGCGTGGCGCTGCACTGCGGCAGCTGTCTCTCTCTTATGCATTGCAATACGAAGAAGATAGAGCAAGAGAGATGGAGAACGACGCCAGCGCCGCCAAATACGAACTAAAATGGGGACAGACCCACTTGGAATCGGCACGATATCCTTATGTTCTGCGATTCTATTCTACGTCTGAATTCGTTGCCTATACCAAAAACAAACTTTAAAGTGATTAGCGTTAACTATTAATGAACGACTCTGAGTACCTTTCGTAAATCTTTTTGCTTTAATTATAATTGTTAATTGTAGATATTTGGAATTTGAATAATAGCGAATATAAAGTGTATATATAATAATTTTATAAGTACAAAATAATTTGATAAGTAGAACTTAAGATTGTCATTTGATACATATATTGTGAAGAGCTAAGATAGATAGAGATAGATAGGCTCAAAAATATTTATTTATATATTTCGATGAAAAATATTGGTGACTTGAAATTGTAATATATATTTAATTTACCAAAATACAAAGTTTTAGTCGCCTATTCATTATTTTCATTGCGTCGCCAGTGAGGGTAGACGTTTCTGCCTACCCTCAGGCTTAATGCGGAAATTTAACCCCCTCTCGTATTAGTGTTATTTTTAAGGACAATAAAACACAATATACATAAACAAATTCTCCATTTTATTTTTACCGATAAAAAATAAACTAAAAACTACTAATATTTAGTAAAAAAAAACTATATAATCGGATCTCTTGTACACGAAACAAAAGTCGTTAAAAAAATAACAAACAAGCCAAAATAACTTACAACAATTGGCAATTAACGCCGCGTTCCTACATTTAAATTACGGACAACCATTCGTTTTTTTAAGGTTTTTACTGTGTGCCGTTATCCGTAATTTAAATTTAGATTTTTTTCTATTACAGCGAATTCCGTTTAGTGAGTCCAACAAAATCGTAATTTCAAAACGTGTATCGAGATATAATATGCTGCATCATACGATATACATTTTACTATATCTAAACCTAGAAACAAAGTCACATTAGTCGAAACAAATATATTAATGTGATTTTGAGATGGACTGACTTTTCCTACACGTTACAATAACATAAGGTATGACGCCGACTATAAAACTGTTTTTACTCTAATTAAATTCTAATGCATTTGGAGTTTAATGGATATATTAGTATATAACAATGTAACAACTACCCGAGTTCTATATAAAAAACACTACGTTATTTCTACTAACTGCACTGTCGCTTCTATATAGTTTAATAAAAAAATTGTAATTTAACTTTATATAAATCTTTATATCTCACTTCTATAAATATATAATTTGTATAAAATATTTTATTATTAATCACACATAGAATGATTAAGGCAGTGACTTTGACGTGTAATATCATATGACATCGACATAGTCATCATAAGATATGGTAATTGCGTTATTTATGATTTGTTTGACATCAAATTTGACCTATTCTGCTATACACAGTCCAATTTTAGTTAAATAGAGAGCGTCAGACCATTTAATATTATACCATGCGCTTATATAACAAATTAAAATCTAAGAAATATCGATTCTGTAAAAAAAGCTATCGATCACAGTCTAGAAAAGCGAAAAGGTCAATCCACCGGTTTTTTTTGTTTCCATGAATTTTTTATGGACCTTAAACATATTATTGTTCCATGTTTCAAAAATTCAATGGATTTATTAAACTAATAAAAAAGCGAATTTTCATATTTGTTTACTTCGTAATATAAGCTAACTAAATCTAGGGGTAAAATTTATTTTCTTAATATTTACATAAATAAATGGATTAAAATAAATTATAAATCTATCGATAAAATCGACGGACTTATCGCCGCATCACTATTCGGTGTTGCCAGTGATAGGCCTAAGTGATGTTCCATTCTAATGTTTTGTGATTTGCGGTTGCAATTTCTCATGATGTTAAAATTAAAATTACCATTATTCAAAAGCGTTACGGTGTGACCACACTGGATAAAGTACCCTCAAATTTAAATTTTGGGCAAAAATGTAAAAACCGTATATTTCCAATAATAAAATCCAGTGTGACCACACCTGTCATTCTTCCAAACTAATATGAGAACGACAATATATCCCTCCCTCTCTAAACCCTAATAAACGAGAGAGACATCGGGCAAATGTGGAACCGAGCATATATACAATTTCGCGTAATTTACAAGCAATAAAAATAATTTAAATCGAATATTTGTGCTAAAGCTTGCCCAATTCCACTTATCTTAGTTCGGAGTCCGTTTAATCCACCACGCGATCATAATAATATAAAAAACTAAACACTCTTCCGTCTCTATCAAATAAGCTTTAATGAAAAGAGACAGAAGAGTTTCGTAAAAAACTGTATAATATTTTCATACTTATCTAGAAGTTATCTGAAATAATCTTGTCTCTTTCCATCAAAGCGTAAATATAATTAATGACAGAAAGAGACGTCAAAACAGAAAAGAAAATTTTAATGAACTTTGAATTCTTTAACTGACTTTTAAAGGGTTTTGAATTTTATGACATGACATTGACAAGGAAGCATCTGTCATTATTGACATACGACTTAATTTGGGGTATATTTTAATCGTTTGCATGTTCCATTACACATTTTTGTGTCGCGGTTTATAATACATATGTATTATGAAGTTTCCATAGGAGATTTTGTGTCAGCTATTTACGTATAAAATATTAAAATCGCAAATAGTCGCCATACGTGTAAACACAGCCTTTTGGGTACCGAATATTGGAAATAGCGTGGTGGATTTAGTATAAACGGTGTAATGCTATCCCACTCACAACTATAGCAAATATAAGTGTTAGAGTGAGACAATACGATTTTGTCAAGCATTTTACAATTCATTCTTATTCCAAATTATTCCAAACATTTCATTAAAATTTGAACCTCAATCATTCAAAATGGAAATAGTATGAAAATACCGCCATTATATACGCCTAGCACAAAAACCTTATTAAAAGCTCGGAAACGTCATTTTTCGTCAAATCCGCGAAATCGGACGCCCTTTTACCTCTTTGGAGTATCTCTATGGTACTTCTGGATTCCAGCTGCTTGATATGATGCAGCAGTTTGGTCTCTGACAGTGGCGAAACCGGTTTTGCCACATTCAAAGTTGTATTTTTGAGCGCTCTCGCGACAGTTTTGAGAAATTTGAACCACTGCCGTTCGCTGGATGTCGCTTCTGGCGTGTTCGAGAGGACCATTGCCTTTTCGGCCAATGCGCAAACGCAGCTCAGAGTTAACTGTAAAAAATCGTGATTTTCTTTAAACAAAATATTTTATAGAATAACTTTTAATTTTAAATATTTTATTATGATCTTTTCTTTGAATTAAGCTATTTAGAGAGTTTAGAACTATTAAACAAGTATTGGTTCCGACACCTTAGGTGAATTCACATTTATGTTACAAAAAACCCCCATTTTCGGTAGGGGTTTTGAACCCATATACACAAATTAAACCAACATTAGTTCTTCAAACTTACAGGATTTGTAAGCGCATACGGGGTCCTAGCGGGATCCAGAGTTTCAGCGATAATCCCACAACACTCCAACACTGCTATCCATGCAGAACTGTTTTGTATGTATCTGAAATAATATTTATACTATATATATATATAATATATATATATATATACACCAAACGGACGTAGAAACAAGGGCAGACGAAACGAGCGATGGAAAGACGCGACTGAAAGGTTGGAGAAAATTGAATGATGACGGTAAAAAATAAAATAGTGTGGAAAAAGGACAAAGGTCAAAGGACTTCTCCCGGACAAGAACCGCATCTTAAAAAAAAAACTTTTCATAAAATTTTCCGTTTTTGGTTCCAACACTAATTACAAACACACACAGACGAAATATATACATATAAAGATTTATTTTTATTCAATTAAAATGATTCACATGTTATCTCGGACATTAGATGTCGGATTACTCATTATTAAAATGTATCTTCAATAGTAAAAATACTCACTTGCGATAATGTTCCGACAATTCAGCCACCCGGGAGTCGAACCTGCATCTTGTGGAAGGTAGAGCGCGTAACATACGGCACCAGAGAAAGCGAAGTCGCGAATGTGTCGCCGGTACACGTGTGATGAAACGGGTGACAAGAACCTGAAAAAGGAATTATAAGTTTGTTTTAATGTTCCATCATCCATCACGGTGTTTTCCATCACCATACGAAATGCGAGGCAAACATAGAAGTTAAGTCCAACGTGCACAGGGGTACGAACCTACGACCTCTGGAGTTAGTCACACATTCAAGCACTAGGCTAACGATCTTCGGATCCTAGGTCAGATATAAGCGTGAAACTTTTTTGGAACCATTTTTCAGCCTTAAATATTTTTGAAGTTATACTTCTTTTGGCGCATTACGGGGAAATTATGAGAGTACATTTTTACGATCAGCGCACACCGTCACAAAAAACAGACACCCTGAAGTTAGCTATAGTCAACATTTTAGTTTTTTGTGATATTCAAATAAACTTTATTAAACTAGATGCGTTATAATAAAAGTTTCGATGTATTTAATACCTTTTTTTTCAATTGTTAGTGTAATTTTTCTACAAACGTATAATTAAATTTTTGAGAAGATTTTTATATTGTTACGCCAAAGAAGTATAATTTCTAACACACTTTTTTTTTAATATTTTAACTTAGCAATATACAAGACTATGAAAATAAAAATCTAAACATTTTAGTAAATTTATTTCAAAAAAGTTAGCTAAAAATTGAAAAAATAATTAATTAAATTTGCTTTTCAGCTTGTATAATTATTTAAATAACTATCATTTATAAAACCGTATAATAAAAAAAGAAGTCGACAAATTTACTCTGATTTTTAATTCCGTAGAATTCTGACATTTCATAAGTGTTGCTACTAAAAAAGTTCTCCACCGAAAAAGGGACAATATTGACCCATTTTCGGCTAATAAAATAAAATGCTACGTATTTTTATGTTTTACCTACAAAAAGGTAAATCTAAATATTCAGTTACTCAGTTAGGTCACTAATACAAAAATATCAAATTCAATATCACGAACAAAATATCGAATTAACTTTAATGCCTTTATTTTCTTCTTTAGCTGGCATCACTGCCTACCAATTCCAGGTTTAGTAAACCTTAACAAAAATGCTATGTTTACTTGTGCGTTTTTTACTCTTTGTGATGAAAAGGAACGTAATTACCACTCGCCGTAAAACCACTTTTAATGTGGAGCACTGCAATTAATAAAATGGATACATTCACTAACAAATAAAATATATGTATAGACTCATATGTTCAGACTCGTAGTGAAATTGAAAAATGTGCCCGGCAAAAAAGGTTTGCCATCTCTGACATGTAAAAAAATTATAGCTGTCAGAATTCTACGGAATTAAAAATCAGAGTATAGTGTATCAAATACTCACCCGTCCCTTTCTCACAGTCAGCATCTGAGACAGCCTGTCTCCATACAATAACCCGGTGAACATTTTGCTGAGTAATTCATCCCTGTCCTCATCCAACAGATTCTTCACGGGAACTGGCTTCTGATTTATCGCCAGATTCACTACCTATAAAAATTAAATTATTAAAAAAATGGAATCTGCAAAAATGGTTTTTTTTTATTAAATTACTATAAGAAAAATATATATAGAAATTATAGCAAATATGAAGGAGAAAGGATTTGTTTTTGTATGTTTCTAATGACTACCTAAAAACTTTTGTGTAGATCTCAATTCACAATTAAAATGTTATTTGCCAGTTCTTCTCTTCCGTTCTACGCCCTTGATTTGAGAACTGGCAGTAAATGTAAAATTGGAAGCATTTAATGAATTTTTCTTTTTTGACGTTCATAAGTGTACATTGTGTTATCTACATGAATGATTAAAACCTTTTTAAAGCCAAAAATTGCATTTGACATATGGGAGTCTGACTTAGCTAAGTTGCTACTCTGAATCATACCCTAGATCTGTAATAACATTGATTTAGTTAACATTATACCTGTCTTTTATCCACACAATCACTCTTAGGACTGTCCTGTTTAGGCCTTCGTTGCACCGACTCTATATTCTTTAAGAATACATTTGAATCATCCTCCTGCACTTCAGACTCTTTCTGCGCTGCTTCTAGTTGCTTCTGTTTCTCTTCTCTTTCCTGAAGATTGAATGTAAAATATAGTGTAGTACTTAATATAAGAAATTTTTTGTCTCCAATTATCTGGCTCGAAGGACCAAAAAATTATATTTGAAGTTGTTAACTCGAAACGAACAAGGGTGATTAGATTTTTACCCGTTTGTCTGCTGAAGTAAAGTCTATATACAGTACACCCCCATTAAACGCGTTTTCCGTCCCCCATACAACGCGGCTCGCCCCTATAACGCGGCGATTACTCAATTTATATTTCTGTAGTATGAAATTTATAATGTTTTGTCAAGTCCATAATTAGTTTCAATTGTGTTGTTATAAAATTAAACTAAATAACTAATCGGTTTTTTGAATTGTCCAAAAATCGGTTTTCCGATAATACTCTACAACGCGATTTCCTATAACGCGGTCCGAGTCTGTATTACTGTATTTTTAACTAACCTTTAATATGAGGGCATTAGATATCGCCAACGGATCATTCAGTTCCTCCAGCCTCAACAAAATAAGGTACAGAGCTTCGATGTCCAATAGAAGCTGTTTCGTTCTTTTCATCTCCCGAGGTATCTGCGAGACAGTATTGAAATATTAAAAACTTCAGGATGCTGATAGGGCTCCCACGCTATTTTAATGTGTCTACAATATTTGGTTGTGCAGGTGTGGACTGTTAAGCCACGATGTGCAAGCGAGCTGTATCTCTGGTAAGGCACGTGCGGGGCAGCCCTGACCTCATGCTGGAGGTAATAACGGGAAGACTGGATTGCCCTTAAATGAGTCATTGCCATGGACTGCATGTGCCCTACATTTTATGATTAAACATACTTTAAAGGTAACTAGGGTTATATTTAGGATATTTTTTTTTTAATTAGAGCAAACGGGCAGGAGGCTCTCCTGATATCAAGTGATACAGCCACCCATGGACACTCAAACTATTGTAACTAACACAATAATAATGAACTTATGATTGTCTGATAAATAAATTATTATTTTTACTACCTCAGACGGATGAGTGGAGCTAGCAACACTGGGTGCTCGTGACAATCGTGACCCAGCTGGTTCTGAACCCACTACCTCGACGTCGATGATCTTACGTGGGGCTGTTACACTGCCGCACTGAAACATACAAGATATATAAGATATAAGCCGTCTTTTAAACCCATTAAAATTTTGTTTCTTCAAGTTTTACAAATTAAACAAAAGACGTGGGTAGATATAATTTGTTTTTCTCAATGGAGGAGAGTTCCCTAGAGGAGATCGCTCGAATGCGGATGTTATTTCACAGTGAACCGAACTAGGACCTAGAACCTAGTCTCTTTTTGATGTAAGTGACAGCTAAAATACCTGTAGCTTCCCCAAAGAGTTCTCAAACTGCAGCGGCACATATGTCCTTGTCTGGTCTTCACTTGTCGAGTTGTGTCTGTGTGAGTTGTGTCTCTCTCTGTGTCTATGGTTGTCTTCTTGTTTAACACCTACACATAAATCCAAATATTATTAAGAAATCCTCCTCATCATTAAGGCATAGTCCGTAACCAGCAGTCTCGACTTTGGCAATCCATAATGTTGGGCAAAATTGCGGGTAATCGAAAAATGTCTTGGCCTGGCTTGTCTTTTCAATTGTTTTAGATTGGCAATGAACAAGAGATTTGGGAGATTGACTGCCGACCTTCAGTAATTGGAGGATTCTTTTTTAATTTTTATTTTCACTTAACACTAAGTAGATCACAGCCGGTATTAGTAAAGAGAAAAAGAGAAAGAAAAAAGAGTAAAGAGAGAAAGAAATAATTTATATACAGTGTAAACCTCCATATAACGAATTTCGAGGGATCGAGCATTTTTATTCGTTACAGAAAGGTTTCGTTATAGTGAATGAAGAATAATAAATGTTTGGGGTTTGTGTTAAACCAAACAATTTTAACTTATTTTTATGGTATATAGAGAGTTCTTCTTTATAACGAATTACGTTATAAAGAATGTTCACAGTAATACTATATATTTAAAAAAAACATTGTTAAGAGTCTATCTGATACCTAATCCGCACTGTTTAGAAAAAAATTACTAGTAAAATTTAAAATATAATAGAAATGACCCGTAAGGAAAATATTTCAATACCTCCACTATAGAAGGGATGGTTCTGTTGGTTTGCCTTGTGCGCTTCCTTGATACCGGCTTTCTCTTTGTTCGCTTTTCTCTCTAAGAACACCTACAAATTTAAAAAAATACTTTTATAATAAACTTAATCACCACTCAGCATTGATAGATCACCAAGGTTATAAGTTCAAGTCCCGATGAAACAAATGTTTCAGACATGCTGAAGAGCTTCATATCCGCGAAATTGACATCTTTTTTTAACGCTTTATATTTATATAAAAGAGGGTAGACGGCTCATCTGATGTTAAGTGATACCGTCAACCATTAACACTTACTTTTTTTTATATGTCTTAAGATTTTTTTTTAGAACAGGGGCCAAACGGGCAGAAGGCTCACCTGATGGTAAGCGATACCGCCGCCCATGGACACTCAATTACAGAGGGCTCGCGAGTCCGTTGCCGACCTTAAGAAATGTCGCTTTTAAGAATTGGTACGTTCTTTTCTTGAAGGACGCATTGGTTCGGAAATACTTCAGTGGGCAGCTGGTTCCACATAGTGGTGGTGCGCGGCAAAAACTGCCTTAAAAAACGCTCAGTTGTGGAACGGCGGACGTCGAGGTGATACGGATGTAATTTCGTATTCTGCCTTGACGTCCGTTGATAAAACTCAGCTGCAGGTATTAATCCGAATAACTCCTCTGACCACTCCATGGTAAAAGTGGTAAAAGATGCAGAGTCCCCACATCCAAACCTTAGGGTAAATATTTTTATTGAATAAACTTTTAAATATAAACATACCGTATAATAAAAGTCGTGTATATAGGGTGTTCCCGTATTAAGTTGCAACATCTGTATATTAATGAGCCATTGTTTCTCGCGTTGCGTCATCAACCCCGCGTATTCGTCGACATCGCTGGACGTACTTCCGTCGTCGCTGGTGGAGTCTTGGCTGAAATAAATATAAGTTCTTACTTAATAAAACTTTTAACTGAAAGAATTCGGGCTTTCAAATAACTGATCAATAGTTTTATCTTTCTATGTAGGTAATAGGTAACAAGAATGGCTTCAGATTCAAATCTAATATATAAAATTCTCGTATCACGGTGTTTGTATTTTACTCCTCCGAAATGGCTCGACCGATTTTCATGAAATTTTGTGTGCATATCGGTGAGGTCTGCTAATCGGACATCTATTTTTTATCGCCCTAAATGTTAAGGGTGGTCCACTACTAAATTTTTTATTTTAATCAAGGCATCATATCAGGGTTTAACCATCAACACACATATTATGGGTTTTTTTTCCTAAAGGCCCTATCCCAGCACGAATTACTGTGTCAGTGCCTCGGGGTGGACTAATTAGTTATGTAAAACATTAAATTAATTTAATTTAAAAAAAATTCTGAAATGGATACTTGGCTTGCGATAAAATATATCGTGTAAATTTCAAAATCATGTTCTATATACATTTTCGTCATAAAATGAATTCAAAGTGTCAAAAACTGGCTGTTTCGATTTCTTTTATATCAAGCGAAGTTATTTAAATCGTGTATCGACCTTTTAAAATGGACATAAACTACTCAACTCCATCATAAATTTTTTCCATTGGATTTACTTCAAGAAACGATGACGAAATATGGAAAAAAACTGTACTTTTTTAGAGATTGGCGACCGGATCGGTCCTTAATAAGTAAAATGTTTTTTGTTCAGTTCCTGTTTTTATGTTTCAATGATGTATTCCATTGACTATTTGTACAGTAGAATTGTTGTTTGTTGTATATAAGTTAGCTGTGGAGAGAAAATAAATAAAAAAACCTCTGCAGACCCTGAAACGTACCTGAGGTTATATCCACCATTCCGCTGCCCCAACATCGGGTGGATTATGTTGTTAAAATTCCTTCCCAGCATTGGATGATGGCTCGCGTTGTGAAAGCTGTTATACATCAACATCGGATGCGTATTTTGAATCATTTCAACCAAATTCTGCGATGTCAGCTTTTGGGAATTATTGTAAACTTGACTTTTAATTTTTGGCTCCGGACGCTTCTTCGGTGATTGGGTTTGGTTTTGTTTAGCCTTTATCTGTTCGGGTTTTGGTGGTGGGGCCTGTGAAATTTAAATAAAATCAATGTTAAGATAGCGTTATGCAATCTGGAATTTGATCTTTGACTCAAGTAATTTGGTTCTCTTTATAATCTACAAAAACGATTCTGATTTGATGAACCATTTTTATACTCTGATTTTTAATTCCGTAGAATTCTGACAGCTATCATTTTTAGACATGTCAGAGAATACAAACCTTCTTGGCTTCAATATGAGTCTGAACATCTGAGTCTATACATACATTTTATTTGTTAGTGAATGTATACATTTTATTAAGTGCGGTGGTCCACATTTAAAGTGGTTTTACGGCGAGTGATAATTACGTCCCTTTTCATCACAAACAGTAAAAAACGCGAAAGCAAAGATAACATTTTATTTTTTTTAAAAGGTTTACTAAACCTGCAATTTGTAGGCAGTGATGCCAGCTAAAGTATAAAATAAAGTAGTTAAAGTTAATTCGATACATTGTTCGTGATTAAAATATTTGTAATTTTTGTATTAGGTCACTTGAGTAAGTAAATATTTAGATTTAACTTTTTTAGGTAAAACATAAAAAATATGTAGCATTTTATTTTTTATTGCTCAAATGGGTAAAATTTATCCCTTTTTCGGTGGATAACTTTTTTAGTAGCGTGATTGAAATGTCAGAATGCTACAGAATGAAAAATCCGAGTATAGTAGCTTGCCTATGTGAAAATTATCTCTGAACATATAAGGATCTTGAACTTGGTACTTTAGTATCTCTAGTAGTAATAAATAGATTTGTATAGAATGGAGAATTAACGAATGGGGCTTAAAACTTCTTTGTCACATGAAATGTGCAGAGTCTAATTTACTATTTTACTAATGTTTGTGTAATTTATTTTAATGCGTTCCGGTGTTATATTATCTATATCAATATTAAAATTAAAATAAGTGTTATAATATAAATATGTAACTAAATATAATAATCACATAGAACACTCGTGATGACAGTAAAAGAGATAGAAAAAACTCACCCGAAAATTCTGATTAAATTGATTAGCGTTTGAGTTAAAATTCTGCCTCGGCATTCCCATACCGGGAGGAGGTCCCATCATTCTTGGGTTTCCCATCATATTGTGAAAATTTCCGCCAAAATTCCCATTTGGCATCATCTGATTGGCATTTTGACCCATCTGATGGGAGTTTTGACCCATCTGGTTATTTTGATTAGAGTTTTGGTTCATAGGGACATTATGTATTTGATTCAAATTTTGGTTTTGTCCTATGTGATTCATTTGTCCCATTTGATTAAAATTTTGTGGCATCTGATTTTGATTTAAAGTCGGAAATTGGTTTAAATGCATTTGTCCCATTTGGTTGGTATTCTGACCCATCTGGTTGACATTCTGACCCATCTGGTTGACATTTTGGCCCATCTGGTTCATATTTTGTTGCATTTGGTTAATGATACCATGTCCCACATTTTGAAATTGGTTGTTTTGCAGAAATTGGTTCAATTTGCTCTGCCCCAAATTCATGTTTTGTGGTAAATGGTTCATTAGCTGGTTGTTGGGTAGATTTTGACCCATAGCTTTATTCATTTGGTTCAGATTATGACCAATTGGTTGTTGTGGCGCGAAAGGTAATGAAACCGGCGCTTGTAGTCCCGGTGGTCTTTGTAAAATAACTGGTGGAAACCTTGGCTGGAATAGAATGAATAAATTAATTGTGAATCATATTATCTAAAGAAACATAAATAATGCTCATCTTTATCTCATATTTTTTTATATCTATATTTGACACTAAACAATTTTTTATATCCATGATTTCAAAAAATACTATATTATTACTTACTGACATTTAGTTAATAGAGTAAAAGAAAATGTTGTTAGTTTACAAATCTTTATAGAGAATAGAAATATGGTCATGAACATATTATGTTTAGTACAGTAATTATGTAAGTAAATAAATGAAAATTTTTGTTGTCCCATTTTGTCTTTTTCACATTGTTACACACACATACTTGACATTATATGATATTACAAATATTTTCATGAGACAAATGCAAATGAGCCAAAGTTGATGACTCACCTGAAAGTAATTTTGGTTGTAATTTTGAGGTGGTTGATTTTGTCGCAATTGCCTTTCCAGTTCCTCCACTGTACAAACATTCTTAAGAGGTGGAGCCGCAGCCTGCAAATATTATATATTTCTATAAAACATCTTGAATAACATTGTGTGCATTATTAATTAAGTAACAACTAAAGTTATTCCAAGTTATCCAGTTTTGTAAATAAGTTGAACACAAGTATTTACTCTATTACATTAATTTAGCCTTAGGCTTAGTTTGTTTTGTCAGTTACTTAGTTATTGAAACTCATGCGCATATAAAAACATTGTGAAGTATACACTTTACAACCCCCGCTGTCTATACAATTCTAATACTGTTATGTATCATTGCAAATTTGAAAATACTTTGAGATGTCTCTTATTGTTACTTAAACATTTTCGTTATATTTTAACAAGTCATACCTCATGTTGAATTTTACTTTAATGTAAGTATGTAAGTCATTTCAATAACAAATGATATCAGATGTGTTTCAGTTTTAATCAAGTTAAACCAATGTTTTTCACATATTATGTTTCCTTTTGCATAGCACATTCAATTCAACATTCAAATTTGGTAAAAATATATATATTTTTTTATTAACACTTTGTTGCAATACAGATATAAAGTAGAATTCAAATAATTAAATAAAAAAAGGGCAACTGGCGACTCAACCAATCTCTTTCAGGCAACTTACCACAGGTGGTGTAGGAAAGAAGTCATGTCTCCACACACTGGAGCCAAGAGACGTTCTTGGCTGGACATCACCATCATCCAACACTAGCTGAGATAATGATGCTTCTGTAGAGAAAAACCAGAAATATTTTTAAAATACCAAAGTGTTATAAATAATATGAAACTAGGACAAACAGGATATTTTGCCTCAGAGGCTGTTAGAGAACTTGCCTTGATCAGAAAGGCCAAGAGATGGGAATTCCTTTTTCCGAAACAAATGTTAATACAACTAGAGAAAGTTATTCCAAAGCATTAGTTTTGTTTAAATAACAAAAGGAATGTTATATGAAATCATTATATCTTACCGAGTCTTGAATCAGCCTCGTCCATAGCATTTTGACGCCTACTGCTCTCCACCTGGTTTGCGTGTTGCTCATGTTCCACCTCCCAATCGAGATCATCTGAAAATTATATTTGTAATTTTTAAAAATTATAAACCGGCTGATTCTGACTGAATTATTAAAGTATCAAATGATTTGGCTCAACACAATGGTCCAATATGAAGGGGTTGAAATGTCTCATGAATAATCTCAAACTGTTGCCTTGTTACTTATAAATTCATGGTTATTTGCACATACTGTGAGGAAAGTGAGGGAAAGATTATCACCAGTTTTTAAATAACATTGAATATTTTATTATTATTTTACCATCATGTCCAAAGGTCTCATTGTTAAGAGCATCATACTCCTCCTCCGAAGGTTCAGCACCACAGTCGTCATTTAAGTTCTAGAAAAATTTTCACAATTATATATAACAATACTTTATTATTCTAGAAATGCTGTCACAATTGTCAAGAATACTTATATTATAGCTCTATCACATGTGGTTCTATCACTCTATTAATATTGGTTTTTATATTTATTCCTATTGCCTTTTCCAATACACAATTCTAGTAATCCTACTAGAATTAGACTATATCCCCTCTGATATTATCTGGATATATTTAGTAAGAAGTAAGTCCTATTAGCTTTAATAAAATATCATTAATCTTTCTTTACAATGAATATAAATTCTAATAACTAAATAAAATATTATTTTTAAAATATTTATTTTTATTAGTGCTTAAAGCATATATGTTCTCCATAAATTAAGTTAAAAATTACTCAATATGCAAAGACTGGAAATCCCTGACATTATTGCAATACTATAAGTACTAAGTATCCAGGTTAAAGAAAAAGACTAAGTTTTGAAACCTCTTTAACAGGAAACATTATACAGTTACTCAGAAACGTTGTTTTATAAATAACACTGATGATATAGCGATCAAAACAAGCATTTGTATCGGAAAACAACGAATACATAAGTGCTACATATAGTACATACCATATAGACAACTGATTTCAACACTTTCTTAGTCATTTTTATAACAATTAAGGGATGCCATAAACACTTCACATAGTCCACAATACTATTAACCAGAATTTAATAGGAAAAACAAATATATACATAGGAATGGGGATATAAAAAAACAAATTGTTGCAAAGTAGGTGTTACTGGCACGCTGGCACCTAAACTTTATCTACGATATATAGGATGTTATATATCAAATTAAAGGTCTTAATTCACGTAAAAGTATAATAACTTACCGATAACGAAGTATCGATCCCGAAAAAAGAATCTGCCATTGGATTTTTTCATGTATCATGGGCAAAAATGACATGACTTGTCACGCTATTGTGTCGCAACTCGCAACAGCTATGGCGCCATCGTCGATGTAACGTCCGGAAACAGCATATAAAATAGATTATACTTGAATCATTAATGAAATTTAATGTACACAGCCGTTTTGTTAATAATATTTACACGTACAAAATTCAACTGCTTAACGAATTATTAAAATAAGCATGAAGTATTTCTTTTAATTTCCAGCTGTTTATAATAGATTTTGACATACAGAAGTCGTAGTTCACGTTAAGTGTAGTTTCTGAACTTCACTTGAATATAAATTTGGGAATAGTCACTAGTCCCTACTATATTTTTAAATAACTATAAAAGTTATCTATGAATGTGAAATCAGAAAGCACCGATATATTTTTAAACTGAATTGCATTGTGGGTATTCGCAACGAGAGTTAATTGAATCCCTAGACATTTAATTAAATATGGATATTCAATAAACTCGCTAAAGTTCCGTCAGAAAAGTGACTGAATGAAACGTTTAACGAGATAAACGTTCGACAACAAGACATTTCAGAGCTTTCGGTCAGACAGATAGTTAAACGTTTTCGCCACTGCTTTATTTAAATCAAAACGCTAGCGAGTTGATTGAATATAGATCTTTAATTAACTGTCTAGAGATTCAATTAACTCTCTGATTTAACTACTTTACTGCGACATATACACTGTTTAACAGCACGCAGCTAACAGATTAACCACGTGGCAAGAATATCAATTGCTACTGTGAAATTCTAAGCTGTAGATGAAAATGATTCTTTTTTATCATGGTATTATGTATTAGTTTATGATTGATGCCAATTGTCATGTACGTATGAAACATGCGTGTTAAATGGCGAGACGTACTTACCCATATAATGTAGAAACTTAGGTCATCTGTGTTATTAAGTACCAATACAAAAAAAACGTGTGGCACTCGGGGACTGCCGCGGTAAAGCTATTGCATAGCATTTTTTATCAACTTATGCAATTATAATTATTTATATATTTTTGATGTTATACTTCTTTAGGCGCGTTATGAAAAATTGATGAGAGTGAAATTTTACGATGCGCGCGCACCATGACACAAAATTAACAGAATGAAGTTGCCCACGGAAGATGCTACGGCATTGGATATGATTTAAAAACAACATTCGAATAATAATGGAATTTATGTTACACTTAATGTAAGAGAATAAAAAAAATAAAAAATAATAATAATAATAAATAATATAATATAATAATAATAAATATTTATTTATTTAATTTTTCAAATGTAAACTGAACTTTATTTACTATAATGACTCCTTTTCCAGTCTTTGATTATTTAATTGTAATTAATTATTTGCATGCAATCAAAAACTATTTTTAATAATGCCAAAGAAGTATAACTTCTTACGCGCGTACAAAAGTACACGCACCCTTTTTTATCTAATATTGTTGGTGTTAGTTGATTTGTTTTATGCATTTATTTAACAAATAAAATTATATGGATAGGTTGGATGGATGGATGGATGATACCCAAATTAAATCAAATAGTTTTCATTTTCAATACCTAGTATGATAAAATAGCATCTGTTTGGTTTACATATACCTACCTACGCTGTTTGATTTTAAATTTCAGGGAATCATTCTTTTCAATATTTCAGGAAAAATTTTGAGGAGGCCTTCACTCCGTCGGAGGTCATGTACTAATATTAAATAAAATATGTAATTCTTATAACCACCGCACAAATATACAGTATTTACAATACTCTTAACCTACATAGTAATAATAAGAATAATTACATATTAATAAATATAAATGAATACAAATTTAAAACGTTTGGTCCCGTGTGGCAGTGTTTTTTTTTTTTTTGGATTTGGGGAAGACCTTTCAATTGCATATTACCACAGATTGTCGATTTGGATGTGCACTGTGCAGTCGAAAGCGAGTTGTTGACAAATGACAGCTGACAATTTTAATGTGTTATTCGTTATTCGTATTTACTATTTATTTTTCCTATTAATATAAAATTCAGTCTTATAATAAATATAATTTTGTAATGTTTATGTTCATCCTTTATCCTAATAATTTATATATATCTATAGGAATTAGTGAAACTACAGAACCCTTTATATTAAGTTTAAAGTAATTTGGTATGTATCGATTTAATATTAAATAATTTTATTAAGACTATATAATAGAGTTTTAACTTTAGTAATATTTTTGGTAAAAATAAACAGTACGTATTTAACGCAAATCAATTTGTTTTAAAATGAATAAACTCATCGAAATGCGTCTTTCTAACGAATGCAATTATCGTATATATGTATATATAAATTTTAATAATTATTTTATGTTACAAGGTCACAAGTCGTAATAACATATTTTCTTATAGGTCTTTTCATTACCCTTCCTATGAGATAATACGTTAATATGTATATGCTTAAAGTTATTGTTATGATTCAGGATAGGATATAATTACAGATTATCTTTTCTTTATAATATTTTTATTAATTTAAATAACCTATTCCATAATTTTGTAGTTGTAAATCAGTATCTATATTTTCTATTCGAGATATTACTTTGACTATAATAGTTAAAAGTTTCTAGTATAGTTGAAAGTCATGTTTTTACTTAGCTTACACAAACAAACTTTGATTTGAATAATATTTTTGTAAGTATCTTAATAGATTTAATCCAAATCTTATTGGATTGTGGTTACTTTTATAATATATGTTTTTCTTAAAACAATAGATTATATTGCATAATTGGAATACAAATAAATAATTCACAAATGTTACTTAAATAATTGATTCATTCACAGAGTGACGTAGTGGCCTTATCAAATGTATTGTGTCTAGCTTTTAATTTATTTCTGACGAATATCTATGTTAGCAAAAAATTTTGGTATGCAGTGTTTTTTACAAATTACCATATCTTAATTAAATACATAATTAGGATATTAAACTTTACGTAATATTTTAATAAAGTAACTATTTTTCATACTGCTGTACAATTAAACTATGTAAGTGCTGGTGATGAACATCACCTTATTAGGTTGTACAGTACTGCAACACATATTTGTAATGAGTTAATATTAAAGGATGTTTCTTCATAAATTAACAAAGTTTCTCATTTGTAAGTTCAAAATATCCAGACTGGATGTCTAAGTCTCAGGTCTGAATCTACCCTTATCTCCTCTTAGTTTATATGATATCAGTAACAAGTTGCAATGTCATTATAAATAGGTAATCTCTAATCGTCTTTTCAGGTAAAATGCATTGTCAAGTAATAGTTCCTGAAGGGTCGTTGAAGGGTAAAGTTTGCAGTACTCCTTGTGGTAAAAAGTATTACAGCTTTGAGGGCATTCCCTACGCAAAACCACCTATTGGACCACTTAGATTCAAGGTGAGTTACAAGGTAACTTTGGATTTACATTTAGAAGAGGTATTTTTTTAAATTTATTACAATACCTTAAACACACTTCAATTTATTTAATAACAATACCAATAACGAAGTTTTCCTTGTTAGCTACTTATTTTATGCTATTACTATTTCTTTGCTATTCTCTCTCATGCATCAATAATCACACAACTTGTGTATAAATCACCTCAGTTGTTTTGCTGAGTATATAAACTTTATTTTATATTGCAATTATCATTTTCAGGCTCCAGAAAAATGTGACGATTGGTCTGGAGTTCTTGATGCAACAAAACCAGGAAACAAATGTGTACAAATGAACCTCATAGATGGTTCAATTGAGGGATCAGAAGACTGCTTATACCTAAACATATACACTCCAAGTTTGCCATATGAAAAAATACAAAAACTCCCAGTTCTGTTCTTCATACATGGTGGCAGGTTTTTAATGGGCTATGGTGATTATTACCGACCAGACTATTTGATACGACACGACGTTATCTTAGTTACAATAAATTATAGGCTAACTATTTTTGGTTTTCTATGTCTTCACACTCGAGAAGTACCTGGAAATGCAGGACTTAAAGATACTGCTATGGCATTAAAATGGGTACAAAGTAACATAGAACATTTTAACGGTGATATAAATAATATTGTAGCATTTGGAGAAAGTGCTGGAGCGGCTGTTGCATTGTCCTTCCTAAACTCAAAAATGATTAATGGTATTTCAAAGATAATTGCGCAATCAGGTACATCTCTATCAGACTTGTTTATGGTAGATGATGACCCCGTCGAAAGGGCTAAAGCGATTGGGACAAGTTTGAGTCACGAAGTAAGAAATACGGGGGAACTATATGATTTACTTATAAATGCTTCCGCAGAGGACTTGATTGGGGCATATATGTCACAGGAATTAGGTAGGGAAATTACTACCATTCATGCGTATCTTCTACCGGTAGTTGAAAAACAATTCGAGAATACCGAACGGTATTTTGACGAGTACCCTCTTCAATCGATAAGAAATAATCGATGTAAAAATATACCGTGTCTCATGAGTATGGCGACACATGAAGCTGCATTATTTTTGAACCGCGACGATTCTGGTAATATAATCTTCACCAATAATTTACGAAAATTTATACCAAACTATGCATTCGTCGACCTTGAATCGAAAGAAGCGTACAATATAGAGAGGGTATTGAAAAAATTGTATTTTAAAGACAAAGAAATTGGTCCTTCGACGCTTCCGGAATATCTGAAATTGACATCCGACGCCTACTTCGCTCGGGACTTCGTTTATACAGCTGAAATTTTATCTTCAAAATGCAGTTTTTATTTATGTAGATTCGATTACCCGGGAAATATGAATACGCGAATCATGAAAAAACTCGGTGTTGAAGGTACAACGCATGGTGATCTGATACAATATGTGTTTTATAAGGAGAAAAAGGCGAAATCGTGTAAGGATAGTGATAGAGCGATTATAGATATGTTGTGTGAAATGTGGTGCAATTTCGCGAAGACTGGGTATGTATAATTCTTAACTAAATAAATATTTGCCCAAAAATCAATTCAATGAATTCCGTAAATTGTAATTGACTGATTTAAATAAATAGTCCTTGAATATTATTAAAAATCTTATGTAGGATTATCTTATATGGAATAACACAAATCAAGCAGTACCTAATGGCGCTGCAAATTCGCTTTTTCATTCTCTAGGACTGACGTAGGCACACTCAAATCGCATGATGCGCTATCTTGAAACGGTTAGATTGTGGGTCCGGTGGGGGTCTTCCCTGAGAGATACGATCTTCAAATGTTATTCCTCCCTCAAAGGCCGGCAACGCACCCACTAAAAATGGGTGTCTATGGGCTGCGATGATTGCCCTTTCCCCCCCCATAAGAAAAAAATTTTTGATCAAAAATTTACAAAATTTCACTGCTACCCTAGAGTATTTGTTACAACAGTTATTAAAAAGTATCACAAATATATTACGAAATAAATATCATTTATAAGTTACCAATAAAATTACTGTAAAAGAAAATCGTGTCAAACATAAAATATTATCTTACTTTGACATTGTGTAAAAATACTATTTACATAAATGACGGTACAGCGATGACTTTGTCCGTATAAATTAAAACTCTAGCAAATTTAGTTTTTATTGTGGGAATTTTAACTATTGTTTTCTGTCCAATTTTTTTTTAAATAATAATAATAATTTACTTATTGCAATAATAAATAATAAAATAAATATGTAAGGTGGTACAATCGTAAGTTCGCATATTCTGCCACACACAATGGCGCGCAAATTCGTCTTTAAAGGAATTTTACATTATTAGTCAAATGAATTGGTCAATTCTTATATTGTTTGTATCGTACATATCATATTATACTTAATTAAATTTATATCATCTACAGTGTCTCACGCAAATAATCATTAATTGAATAGTACATTTTTTCCAAAAGTAATACACCCGAGTCGCTTTTTAAAGACTCTAGACGGAAGATCTTCTAATTATTTTGGTAATTTATTGTAAACCTTAATTGCCATACAAAGGTGTTTTTCCTAAACAGTTCCAGATTGATTTTTGGCACAGCCAATTTCTCCCCATGTCTACTTCTTACTTCGACTTCAACATTCGACTTAAGAATATGTATTTTATTAATTATATCGACGTAGGAAAGCACATTTGCTGTAAGTAGACATATTGCAATTGTTCGCCAGAGCCAAAAACTTTATTAATTTCGGAAAAAATTAATAGTGTCTGACCTATCCATGATATTGCTACCATTTTGAAACATAATTTATTTAACTGTATCACCATTTGCAATGTAAACTTTTTATCCAGTTATAAGTACGTGTTTGGCTATTACAGCAAACAGTTTTTTAAATCACAAACCTTTAAAACGCTGTAACTAAGGAAGAAAAATTACGCGCGGAAATATTATCAATTTACAGGCGGTAAATATGCTGTATGCAGGAAATTTATGTATTTGGGTACTTTTAATTGCAATTCAAGATTAAGATTAGTTTATAATTTGATTAGATCTAGAAATGCAGTGGTATTTGGTAATGTAATGTTTGGTTGAAATAAAATGTCGTAAATGGTAAAAAAAAAAACTGTAGGTTCCCTAAACTAGCTGTAAGTAAACGAATTAAAAATCACACGCCGCTGAAATGCTGTAAGTAGCGTTAAGTTTTTAAATGGGAAGAAGTAATATTTGTAAAGAAAAAATGCAGATTTTCTTTTCTGTAGTGCAAAATGTCTGAAATGACTAGATTTTGGTCTACATACAGCATTTAATCTTGCTAAAAATAATATAAGTACGGGCGTTTTCAACGGCGTATGTAATTTTTTTTTCATGTAGAAACAGGACCCAGGTCATTCGATGCGGCTTTTTTTCTGATTCTAATGGCAGGAAAAAGTCACTTTAGTATTTTGTCTACTTACAGCAAATATCTTTCCTACGTCGATATATACCGAATTTACACAAGAGTACTTGGCTATTATCTACTTATAACGTTGATATTTTGTTGCGGAGATATTTTATCTTGTATATATTTTAATTGTATTTTTTTATATTTTGTTTACTTAAATTGTCATACATTTTAGATAAAGAGTTTAAACGTATGTTTGATTTAGTACCTACCTATGATTTGGTAAACTTTATGTTTTTTACCTACCTACCTGGGTTTACCTATATTCTGTTTTGCAGAAAACCATCATGGAAACATCAGAACACCAAGTGGTTACCATATAAGAAGAGCCAAAAATTATGCCTTAATATAGCTGAAAATAATATTCAATGTATACCGTTACCAGAGTTCAGTAGGAATAAGGTTTGGATAGATTTAGTATGCCAAAGGTCTAAATTATAATTATATAAGCAGAATAAAAGTAATTCTTCTTTAAATTTGCATAATTTTAGTTTTAGAATTTATCTAAACTCTGATTCTTATTCTTTATTCCGTAGAATTCTGACATTTCATACGTGTTGCTACTAAAATAGACTCAGATGTTCAGACTCGTATTGAAATTGAAAAATGTGCCCGGCCAATAAGGTTTGTAATCTCTGACAAGTCAAAAATAGATAGCTGTCAGAATTCTACGGAATTAAAAAGCAGAGTATAGATGTATCTTATTTGTTACTTCTTAATTTAGATAGAAAATACTTTTTGTTCTATTAACTAGGGGCTTGTCGACTTATAAAAAGTGCTTTTGTGACTTAACTATCAGGCATATGTATGATAATCATGAGATAAATGTATCGACATTTTATATTTATCAAGTATTATATTCATCGTTTTATGTATTTTAGTACGCGCATAATTTTTTTATATATTTTTTTATATTTTTAATACTGTATTATAAACCTTTGTTGCTACTTGCAATAGCTTAAAAGTATTGTAATTTTTCAAGTTTTTAACACCTCAAACTATGATGTGTCAACTGTCAAGTGTCAAAGTCAACAGGTAAATTTGACATGAGTATCTGTGGCTTTATAATAATTATTATATTATTAATAATTTTTAACATAGCATTGTCTTAACCGATGTACTTTGAAATATTGAATAGCGTGGCGATTTTTATTGGTCAAACCCCTAAATCGAATTCAAGCTACTTGAGTGGTGGAAATGTTAAACAAAAGACTTTTCTTTAGTCCAATCACAGATACGCAAACACACGCCATTGTTCCGTTTTGTTTTTTTACGATACACGAAATGGATTCCGTTATATATTAAGCTGCGTATACATTAAGCGCGCAAACCATCGAACATTGGCGCGCGCGGCGGCCGCGCTCTATGTAGACGGGTCGCCGCGCGCGGCGACTCGAACATTGCCGCGCTCGAACGTGCCGCGGGTCGAACCGCTCGATGTCGGTTTTGAGACCGCATCAAAGGAGCTTCACTCGTTGGCGCGCCAGTTGGGACGGTTTAAGTTTTGTGATTTGTCGCGCGGCAAACGTAAAGGACAACGAAAAGTGCCGTATACTTATTCAATTGTATAGCGTAAAGAATTTTTGTGGAACAGCAAATCCACCCAATACCACATCGCTGAGGTATGATGCGTGGATAGAAATCAGTAAGAAAATGGATATACCTATTCCTGACTTGAAAAAGAAAATGACTACACTTTTGGCGTCCACAGAAGAGAAAAACAGAATAGCTAAAGTGTGACTGGTCTGGTAATACCTATTTATTTTGCATTTACAACAAAAAAGTAATATAATTAAAAATTTAAGGAGACAAAACTAAAGTAAATTTTAAGTTTGGTCCTGTCTCAATGTAATTTTAATAGAAGATTTCTCGCTGTATTCCGATACTTATTCGTTGAGGAAAGCATCAGCCTGGAGCCAACGACCAGCTCTGGGGTCTCACTACTACTACAGGGCCAACTTAAATTTTTAATTAGCGCCTGTGCACTTGAACCCCGAAACTTGCATAGATTAAAGAAAAGATAATCTCTGTAATTTATGTGTAAAATTTAATATCGTTACATTAAAATCCTAAATTCATAATAAAATTATTTACCGTATAATGAAGTAAATAAAATATTTATAGCAATAATTAATTAACAAGAGGACTTCACATAAGTTAATAAAAAAACTACAATTTGACGGCTCATTGGTCTAGTGGTTAGTACCCCTGACTGCGAATCCATGGGTCCCGGGTTCGATCCCCGGTGAGAGAAACATCGAGATGAGCATTTGGTGTTGAGCTTAGGTTTTTGTGTTTAGGTTGTTTTTATGTAACAGTATTTACAATTTAAATAATAAAAGTAATTAATAATTAATAAAAAGAAAATTAAAACAAATTTAAAAAGTTTAGTCCCTGTGGCGGTGTACCTTTTAACCTATTTATTTTGCATTTACAACAAAATAAAACGCATTTTGTAATTACGTAAATAATTTTTATTTTTATTACAGCACAATGAAGTTTACGTTTCGAAGTGGTTTGCTTTCGATGACTTTAATTTCATGAGGGATAAAGATCTACCCAATGAAACATTGGACACAATGTCTGAAAATGTGAGTACAAGTTTTAATATCTATTTTGCCAAGATATTGCACCATTGGTAACAAAGTGATGGGTAGGTGTGAACGTATTTGTTGTGCAAATTTCCGCTTTTTGGGAATAGTGGGCAGTAGTGAGGGGCAGTTTCATTTCTCCATGTTCCAGGTATAATTTGTCTCCCTTTTTCCTTCACATCTATACATCCTTGCGGCGTGTACTGTGTGTCAGAGTTTTTTTCTCAAAAATGCAAAGTTTGTTGCTAAAACAATTTGAGCAATCTTTGGTTGTGAACATAGGTTTGCTAGAACTCTAAAAACTGAGCTCAGAATCCCGAATGCATTTTCCACACACTACGTGCTCGAGATAACCTGTAATTAAAGATTTTTCCTCGGAACCCCTTTCTAGATCTCCTGGAAATGGTTTCATAGATTCATTTAAAGCAAAGCTTGTCAGCTAGAATCACATATGGTACTTTGAAGGAATAGGGCACTTGAAGAATGGATGGAGGAGGAAGTCTCATAGATTTTTCTTCTATTTTTTGTATAAGTTTGTATTTTTGAAAATACCGCCATAGAGTCTACCTTGACAGCCCACATTTACATACGTAAAACAAGTTGACGACTAAGTAGTAAACTAAACTAAAAAACTTTTTGTAGTTGAAAAATTCTGTGCCATGTTTTAGGTGCTTGCAAACTACATGTTTGCCATCCAAGCACCTACTGCATGAGGAAAGTCCCATTTGTTTTCGAAATCGTGTGCTATCTGGAACCATTCTTTTTGAGTCCGGTACCTGCAACAATTAATTAAACATTGGTTTTTTTTTATAGTGCAACAGCACAAATTGCACAAAATGATAAGGACCAATTACACCTTCTGCTATGGAACAAGAAATAGAACCACCAAGTGACATTTGAACGCTCCAGATAGTCTGAGAGTAAAGAAAAGAAAAGGCAAACGCTGTAGAAGATTCCCCTGCTGAAAAAAGCATCAGGTTCTCACTGAATCTGCTGAATTGCTGACCCATATTTTTCATACGGCCAGCACATTGCTAATGAGCTCCGTAAAATTCACGGACTTTAATATACAAAGCTATTAACAATGTAATATTTGAAGCTGACTTAGGAAAATATGGGTGTTGTACCCAAATTTCACAGTCACACTACACCTCAACGCCGTCTCCTCAGGCCTCGACTCCGTCTTCTCAGATTCCAGAACTACTCCTACTGCTGAACGTGAACCAACGCCATTGCCTATGGACGATTTTTTTCCCTAAATAATAATAAAAAATATCAATAAATAAACATAATTATTAAAGAAAACTACATATTTTATTTACTCACCTTTACCCAGTCTTTTAGTGCATCGCAAAGTGCATCGCAAACTTCAGGAACAATTCTTGAAATTGACTGTTTAGAACTCGAAAAAGGTATTGCAGGTAGTATAGGAGTCTCCAGTTGCCAGAAATCTTAAGTTTGCTATCTTAGAACGATTTGCCTCTCGAAATTGCGTGTTCATTTTCATAACACTTGGTTCTATTAATGATTTTATTAATTCGAACTCTGCAGTTGACATCGCGTAATTTTTTTTATAGTGTCTTCAACGGCTTCATATCTTATGTCTTCCAGAAGTTTCACGCTATATAGCGATCTATTAAGATATAACTTTTTCATCCACCAACGCCTTTTTCTTTTATTTTTTTACAAATAGATGGTGAATCACAATGAAAGCGGAGCCGCCCGACCACGCGCGTCCATACTCGCAGGTTTACAAGAGTGAACTGGTCTGACTATCCGCCGCGGTCTGTTCGCGATGGGTCGCCTGCCGCGCGCGGCAGTCACGTCCAACTAAATTTATATCTTCATTTGGCTGCGCGGCAAATGAAGGTCAACTCTGGTCGAACATTGGCTCGCGCGGCTGCGGCTTAATTTATACGCAGCTTTACGTAGTCGGTCCCAAAGTTCTGTCACAAATGGAAATAATGACAAAAACAAAAGTACTAATCAGTTTTTAATGAGTGATGTATCAATTTATAGTACATTAATTAAGGAATAGAAATAGCATAAAATTATCCGAAATGATCTCCCTTATTTTTAATACTGGCCCTTAAGCGCCGCGGCCAGTCGTCTATCAGCAGCTATTCGGTTTTCTTTCAATGTCCACTCCATCGTGAAAAATTACGGAAAGTGATTGTTTTTTGTTTTAAAACAATAGTCAAACATTCAAAAATATAATGCAATATTTTTTTTATAAAATCATGTTCGAAATTTAAAAATAATGTGTCAGTGACAGAACTTTGGGACCAACTACGTATATTCTCTCAACTTTTAAGGGCGTCGCCACCCGCTCGTGAAGAGGGGTCAGGGCCCCAGTAGATATAATATAGAGGATGGGAAACCTTCAACATGGTTTTGACCCTTAAAATAAAAATATGCAGTATGCGTTCTGTCCCGTTCTAACGCGTATTTATTACGTCATCGTGTGTTAGGTTTTTATTTTCGTTACGGAATTTCTTGATTCGGTCTCCACGCTCAAAGCCCGCGATAAAATCTATGTAATTTCTTAATTTAATAATTAAAAAAAAAATTGATTAATTAATCATGAAAAAAAGTTTTTTCCATTCCCTAGTGCCACCCACCCGCCTGGCGATGCTTTTGTTTCTTATCATATATTTATAGTGATATAGTAAATGACGTTAATAATATGACTACAGTAGAACTAGCTCCGATTCCGATCGCCGATTTCCGAGTGCGAGTGTGACCACTTGCAACTGCTCACCGTCAGCGAATGCGTGACCTGGCTGCCCGAAAACGGTTGAAGACCGCAAACAGCTTACATTACGGAGATCTTTAAAAAACAATGATTTT